TTCAAGGTCAAGGTCAAGGTCAAAGGACGGGGAACGCTCTACAGCCTAAAATTACCGTCCGATTGGCTTGTAAATGGTCTCAATCGATTCCTCGACCCCGATTCCAGGTTGACAGCGATTTCCAGGTCACTAGGTCATGACCTTCAAGGTCAAGGTCAAGGTCAAAGGACGGGGAACGCTCTGCAGCGTAAAGTTACCGTCCGATTGGCTTGTAAATGGTCTCAATCGATTCCTCGACCCCGATTCCAGGTTGACGGCGATTTTCAGGTCACTAGGTCATGACCTTCAAGGTCAAGGTCAAGGTCAAAGGACGGGGAACGCTCTACAGCCTAAAGTTACCGTCCGATTGGCTTGTAAATGGTCTCAATCGATTCCTCGACCCCGATTCCAGGTTGACGGCGATTTCCAGGTCACTAGGTCATGACCTTCAAGGTCAAGGTCAAGGTTCGCGAATATCAAACTAACAATTCGATATTCGGACGGGGAACGCAATAACTCAAGAACCAGTGAACCGATTTTGATGAAAAGACCCTCATTCGATTCCTCGTTCCTCATTGCAGGTTGACAGCGATTTCCAGGTCACTAGGTCATGACCTTCAAGGTCAAGGTCAAGGTCAAAGGACGGGGAACGCTCTACAGCCTAAAGTTACCGTCCGATTGGCTTGTAAATGGTCTCAATCGATTCCTCGACCCCGATTCCAGGTTGACAGCGATTTCCAGGTCACTAGGTCATGACCTTCAAGGTCAAGGTGAAGGTCAAAGGACGGGGAACGCTCTACAGCCTAAAGTTACCGTCCGATTGGCTTGTAAATGGTCTCAATCGATTCCTCGACCCCGTTTCCAGGTTGACAGCGATTTCCAGGTCACTAGGTCATGACCTTCAAGGTCAAGGTCAAGGTCAAAGGACGGGGAACGCTCTACAGCCTAAAGTTACCGTCCGATTGGCTTGTAAATGGTCTCAATCGATTCCTCGACCCCGATTCCAGGTTGACAGCGATTTCCAGGTCACTAGGTCATGACCTTCAAGGTCAAGGTCAAGGTCAAAGGACGGGGAACGCTCTACAGCCTAAAGTTACCGTCCGATTGGCTTGTAAATGGTCTCAATCGATTCCTCGACCCCGATTCCAGCTTGACAACGATTTCCAGGTCACTAGGTCATGACCTTCAAGGTCAAGGTCAAGGTCAAAGGACGGGGAACGCTCTACAGCCTAAAATTACCGTCCGATTGGCTTGTAAATGGTCTCAATCGATTCCTCGACCCCGATTCCAGGTTGACAGCGATTTCCAGGTCACTAGGTCATGACCTTCAAGGTCAAGGTCAAGGTCAAAGGACGGGGAACGCTCTACAGCCTAAAGTTACCGTCCGATTGGCTTGTAAATGGTCTCAATCGATTCCTCGACCCCGATTCCAGGTTGACAGCGATTTCCAGGCCACTAGGTCATGACCTTCAAGGTCAAGGTCAAGGTCAAAGGACGGGGAACGTTCTACAGCCTAAAGTTACCGTCCGATTGGCTTGTAAATGGTCTCAATCGATTCCTCGACCCCGATTCCAGGTTGACAGCGATTTCCAGGTCACTAGGTCGATTGAGGAATCGAGGAATCGATTGAGACCATTTACAAGCCAATCGGACGGTAACTTTAGGCTGTAGAGCGTTCCCCGTCCTTTGACCTTGACCTTGACCTTGAAGGTCATGACCTAGTGACCTGGAAATCGCTGTCGACCTGGAATCGGGGTCGAGGAATCGATTGAGACCATTTACAAGCCAATCGGACGGTAACTTTAGGCTGTAGAGCGTTCCCCGTCCTTTGACCTTGACCTTGACCTTGAAGGTCATGACCTAGTGACCTGGAAATCGCTGTCAACCTGGAATCGGGGTCGAGGAATCGATTGAGACCATTTACAAGCCAATCGGACGGTAACTTTAGGCTGTAGAGCGTTCCCCGTCCTTTGACCTTGACCTTGACCTTGAAGGTAATGACCTAGTGACCTGGAAATCGCTGTCACCCAGGAATCGGGGTCGAGGAATCGATTGAGACCATTTACAAGCCAATTGCACGGTAACTTTAGGCTGTAGAACGTTCCCCGTCCTTTGACCTTGACCTTGACCTTGAAGGTCATGACCTAGTGACCTGAAAATCGCTGTCAACCTGGAATCGGGGTCGAGGAATCGATTGAGACCATTTACAAGCCAATCGGACGGTAACTTTAGGCTGTAGAGCGTTCCCCGTCCTTTGACCTTGACCTTGACCTTGAAGGTCATGACCTAGTGACCTGGAAATCGCTGTCAACCTGGAATCGGGGTCGAGGAATCGATTGAGACCATTTACAAGCCAATCGGACGGTAACTTTAGGCTGTAGAGCGTTCCCCGTCCTTTGACCTTGACCTTGACCTTGAAGGTCATGACCTAGTGACCTTGAAATCGCTGTCAACCTGGAATCGGGGTCGAGGAATCGATTGAGACCATTTACAAGCCAATCGGACGGTAACTTTAGGCTGTAGAGCGTTCCCCGTCCTTTGACCTTGACCTTGACCTTGAAGGTCATGACCTAGTGACCTGGAAATCGCTGTCAACCTGGAATCGGGGTCGAGGAATCGATTGAGACCATTTACAAGCCAATCGGACGGTAACTTTAGGCTGTAGAGCGTTCCCCGTCCTTTGACCTTGACCTTGACCTTGAAGGTCATGACCTAGTGACCTGGAAATCGCTGTCACCCAAGAATCGGGGTCGAGGAATCGATTGAGACCATTTACAAGCCAATTGCACGGTAACTTTAGGCTGTAGAACGTTCCCCGTCCTTTGACCTTGACCTTGACCTTAAAGGTCATGACCTAGTGACCTGAAAATCGCTGTCAACCTGGAATCGGGGTCGAGGAATCGATTGAGACCATTTACAAGCCAATCGGACGGTAACTTTAGGCTGTAGAGCGTTCCCCGTCCTTTGACCTTGACCTTGACCTTGAAGGTCATGACCTAGTGACCTGGAAATCGCTGTCAACCTGCAATGAGGAACGAGGAATCGAATGAGGGTCTTTTCATCAAAATCGGTTCACTGGTTCTTGAGTTATTGCGTTCCCCGTCCGAATATCGAATTGTTAGTTTGATATTCGCGAACCTTGACCTTGACCTTGAAGGTCATGACCTAGTGTCCTGGAAATCGCTGTCAACCAGGAATCGGGGTCGAGGAATCGATTGAGACCATTTACAAGCCAATCGGACGGTAACTTTAGGCTGTAGAGCGTTCCCCGTCCTTTGACCTTGACCTTGACCTTGAAGGTCATGACCTAGTGGCCTGGAAATCGCTGTCAACCTGGGATCGGGGTCGAGGAATCGATTGAGACCATTTACAAGCCAATCGGACGGTAACTTTAGGCTGTAGAGCGTTCCCCGTCCTTTGACCTTGACCTTGACCTTGAAGGTCATGACCTAGTGACCTGGAAATCGCTGTCAACCTGGAATCGGGGTCGAGGAATCGATTGAGACCATTTACAAGCCAATCGGACGGTAACTTTACGCTGCAGAGCGTTCCCCGTCCTTTGACCTTGACCTTGACCTTGAAGGTCATGACCTAGTGACCTGGAAATCATTGTCAACCTGGAATCGGGGTCGAGGAATCGATTGAGACCATTTACAAGCCAATCGGACGGTAATTTTAGGCTGTAGAGCGTTCCCCGTCCTTTGACCTTGACCTTGACCTTGAAGGTCATGACCTAGTGACCTGAAAATCGCTGTCAACCTGGAATCGGGGTCGAGGAGTCGATTGAGACCATTTACAAGCCAATCGGACGGTAATTTTAGGCTGTAGAGCGTTCCCCGTCCTTTGACCTTGACCTTGACCTTGAAGGTCATGACCTAGTGACCTGAAAATCGCTGTCAACCTGGAATCGGGGTCGAGGAATCGATTGAGACCATTTACAAGCCAATCGGACGGTAACTTTAGGCTGTAGAGCGTTCCCCGTCCTTTGACCTTGACCTTGACCTTGAAGGTCATGACCTAGTGACCTGGAAATCGCTGTCAACCTGCAATGAGGAACGAGGAATCGAATGAGGGTCTTTTCATCAAAATCGGTTCGCTGGTTCTTGAGTTATTGCGTTCCCCGTCCGAATATCGAATTGTTAGTTTGATATTCGCGAACCTTGACCTTGACCTTGAAGGTCATGACCTAGTGACCTGGAAATCGCTGTCACCCAGATATCGGGGTCGAGGAATCGATTGAGACCATTTACAAGCCAATCGGACGGTAACTTTAGGCTGTAGAGCGTTCCCCGTCCTTTGACCTTGACCTTGACCTTGAAGGTCATGACCTAGTGACCTGGAAATCGCTGTCAACCTGGAATCGGGGTCGAGGAATCGATTGAGACCATTTACAAGCCAATCGGACGGTAACTTTAGGCTGTAGAGCGTTCCCCGTCCTTTGACCTTGACCTTGACCTTGAAGGTCATGACCTAGTGACCTGGAAATCGCTGTCAACCTGGAATCGGGGTCGAGGAATCGATTGAGACCATTTACAAGCCAATCGGACGGTAACTTTAGGCTGTAGAGCGTTCCCCGTCCTTTGACCTTGACCTTGACCTTGAAGGTCATGACCTAGTGACCTGGAAATCGCTGTCAAGCTGGAATCGGGGTCGAGGAATCGATTGAGACCATTTACAAGCCAATCGGACGGTAACTTTAGGCTGTAGAGCGTTCCCCGTCCTTTGACCTTGACCTTGACCTTGAAGGTCATGACCTAGTGACCTGGAAATCGCTGTCAACCTGGAATGAGGAACGAGGAATCGAATGAGGGCATTTTCATCAAAATCGGTTCACTGGTTCTTGAGTTATTGCGTTCCCCGTCCGAATATCGAATTTTTAGTTTGATATTCGCGAATATCAATCTGCTGCTCAATTGATGGACGTTAATTTTCATGTCGGGGCTAAAGAACAAAAAAATTGTCGGCGCGAAACATTCGATTGTGGCGCAGCTTTAGCCTGTTGTTAGTGTTCATAAACGTTTGCTGCGGAGATAAAATTTCTTAGAGAGGATTATTATCCAATGAGCTGACGGATTTTGTAACACAAAAGCGAGTCGACTCTAATGATTTCTACCACTGAACAGGTTTCAAGCGGTAGCTGTTGTGGCGCGTGTTAAAGTAATCTTGGTACTGGGCTGTAGAGATATTTGAATTAAAATCAAATTTAAATGTTATTGAAGGGTGAAGCTTGAGTGAAGCCCACGATCATACTTAGCTGTAGGTACGAAAATTTGACAATTACATGCAATTTGTTAATCATATGGATAATGGTGATTGGAATTTGGACTTGTCATTGATGCTTAGGTATGCATTTTACACGTTGACGTTTACAAGACCAAGATAGAAGTAGACACTAATATGCTAAGACACTGATGTGCACTGCTGTCTCAGACTAAACCTATCAGTAGGTTTGACGGTGAAATCTGAAAACAGGGCGCCAGCCGGGCATTTTTAGTCACGTGATCATCGGGATATTTTCCCCCTCTGTGGCTTTAAAAGGCTAATTTTCACATGATTAAGTCTAGCGACGTTCAACACCCTTGATCAAATCACCCCAGCTCCCTGTTTTCAGATTCCATCTGGTTTGAACTTTGACTGCCAATCGAATACCAGCAATTTTGTGTGGGACAATATGACCCTTAGACAACACTAGAAAGATCATGAGTCTAGTCATAAAGCAATAACCCAGAGTTTATATTTTGCAGAGTAAAGAACAATGAAGAATCTGGTGGCAAAGAGTGTCCAGTCCAGCAGTGGTGCTGCCACAGCACCAGCCTTCACCATCCCCGTTGATGGTCGAGTGTATGCTGTCGAAGTGGCTGGATTTGCATGGTGCAGTGACCTGGTAGTCTATGGAACAGCTACCTCAGTTGGTGTACTCCGCATCACTCTCCCAGTGAGTTTGAATGGTAGAACTACTTCACAGAGATGCAATGATCTGTAAATGCATGCCATATGCCAATTTTGTTTGTTGATTTTAGTTGTGCTTTTGTTTGTATTGGATTTTGCTTCCTGAATTCCAGCATGCATGCATTTGGCCAGCTGCAGCGTGAGGCTGCTGGGCACCATCCAGTCAAAACTTGAAAGTGTTTTCTGTGCTCAAGCCGAAATTATGAGATGATTGGTGATCACCTTTTTTATCAAGACATTCCTATTCGGCTGTTGCCACGCCTCAGAAAGACACCCATTAGCTCACTGAGTCCCTATGAGCCAGTGGTATCCCCATCTGCCCGTCCCCCAGCCCTCACATTCCCCCCTACGCCCACAGGAAGACAGTGAGACCGGACAGCTGCAGCACGTGAGTCTGCACGAATTCCACCACGACTCGCGGGTGCGCTGTCTCGCCTGGAGCGGCGAGACCAACCTGGCTGAGGTGCCTCGCTGTCTGAAGTTTGCGGCCGCCGGCGCCGACCACTGTGTCAGGGTGTACGTCCACACGGGCCCCACGGAAGGCGGGTCGCTGGAGGTATGTTAGGGTGTAAATGGCGATGTAATGCGGCTGCACACGGCATTTGTCGTGCTCCATTAGTGATCTTAGGATTTTACAAAAAATCAAGATTGCGTTTTTTTTCGCTACTGTGTACAGTGTACACTGCGTGAGGCGTTTCAATTTTCATGACAAAAAATGCATTTATGATTTTTTAAACCATGTTCAATATCCCAAACTGTTAGCTTATAACTATCCCCTACCGTTCGTGATTCACGATGCCGAATCCCAATTTTTTATACGGTCAGCCTGTCTGTTTCAGTATTTTTCTTCGCATGCTGGAGGTTTACGTTAATACTGTACCTCCTGTGTACATTTACAAGGCTGGCTCGTACCCTGTATTTGTTCTCAACCTGCCATATGTAGCCGCGATTTTCACGCTGGCCAGACTGATCTACCGGAGTCCGACTATCTGCGTTTTTGCCGCAGGTTCACCCGCTGGTGGGCCACACTGACTACATTAACGATCTGTCGTTCGGCGGACCGGACGGAGACACCCTGGCCAGCGTCGGTGACGACCTGACCTGCCGGCTGTGGAATGCGGCCGACTTTACACCGCTGGCGTGCATCGCCTCCGACGGACCGTGTGAGTGGCCGGGGACCGTGCGCTGGTCGGGGGAGGACGTCCAGGCACCGGTCCCTGGTCGGGGAGGTCTGGGGATTGTTAGTAGGTCAGAGTAGTTACGGAGAAGTCTGCGTCCGATCGCGGGGACTCGCATGTCTGAAGAAATCTGCGGTTCTTAGATTCGGAGAGGATAGATGGCTTTCCAGTTTGGAGGAACTGTTTTCAGGAGCAGTCAGCTATGAAGACATAACCTACGTATCGGACATGTGTAGCCAATATAACAAACGAACGCCCTCCGGCAGGTATGTCGGTGTGCTGGCACGCGGAGGAGCAGTACCAGCTGCTGGTGGCGGCCGCCTCCGGCACCGTCACCTTCTACAACACAGAGACGCGCGCGCCCGTCTCGGCCCTCCACACGGGCGTGACTGGCCTGGCCGGCGCCGACTGGTCGCCACTCGACAGTCTGCGGGTGGCTACCGTGCACGACAGCCGCCTGGTGACTCTGGACGTGTCCCGACTCAGGTCAGTCATAGGTGGATGTGCTGCGGCTGAGGTCAGTCGTACACCGGACATGTTGTGGTGGAGGTCATCGGGGGGGTCAGCTGTCGGCCGTAGCGGGAATGGCGAGGGACCGGGAAATGCGGTTTGGGGGAGAGTTGGGTGTAGGGAGTCGAGTAGTGTTTGGTACGGTGTGGCGGGTAGTGACTTGATGGAATCATGGAACTACGACATCGTGGTCGTCGGCTTATGGCTACGGAATGCATGGGAAGCCCTAGCGTGCGGCACTCGCATCATCAGCATACTAGCCAAATGGTCACGTTGTTTCGTCAGTTGATAATGCCATGCCATTTCTCTAACGCCCACCCGTGTCCGTTCGCCAGCAAGCCGGAGACGGACCAGGAGGTGCACCACGGCGGCGGGCAGAAGGTGCGCTTCTCGCGCACGGCCAAACAGCACGTGGCCACGTGTAGCCTGACCCAGGTCAAGGTCACCCAGCTGGGCGTGCACCAGGCGCCGCTCGCAGAGGATCTCATGGTGAGTGGGCACAGTTATTCGTGGGCCTGGATGAAACAGTAATTGAAGGGTGATCGAGTAGCAAGAAGGTATGACATTTTTTTAGTGTGGCATAAAACTATTCAGATAGCTTCGCGCAACATGAATTCAAACTCGCTCAAAAGACTGTACGCACGATCGTATTTCGATGCGATCTTCCCAAAAGTGGACCATGCCAGACACTTGTACTGGACGCACACACTGCAGGAAGCGGAGGCTTTGATCCGTGTGGACGCGAGTCTCTCCCGTCCAGAGGGCGCTGAGTTACGTGTATCCTCCCTCCGACAGGCGGTCGGCGGCATCAGCTGGCACAGCGTCCTCCCGTACCTGTTGGCCGGCAGCGACCGAAAACTGGTGGTCTGGCGGGTCGCCCTCATCTAACGCCGGCCCTCAGAGAACACCAGGGCAGACTCGGCAGAGGCAAGTCACGTCTGTGTGGACATGGTGCAAGATTGGTAAATTCCCAGTAATTGTCGGTGCAGTCCAGTTCAAATGTGACGCTTTTCCATTGAAAGGTGAACGTGTTAACTATGTGGGGTTCGTGGGATTCCTCAGAGCTGCTGACCACTGAAAAAGTGTCATATGGCGGTGTAATGTCAATAATACATTGTTTTTTAAGTATCGTGACATGTATTCCGGTTGGTATCATCCATGTCAATGTCGTTTTGGGACTATAGTCTCTTCTGCAGGCATACCCCTCGCAGCAGGTGGTAAATGGGGTCGGGTCTGTTTGTGCTTAGACTTTCTGAAGGCTTCCATTTTCAAACACACCAAACCACCACACTCACGCACCAGCCCATCTGATATATAATATAGGTGTATTCGCCACCGTTTTCCCTGCCTAAGCCTAGATAGCCGCGCCCGTGTGACTATGTGGTTTTAATCTGTGTGCGGTCGGCGGACGGACCGAACGCGTTACAATGACTCCGCGCACACCGTAAATAAATAACTACCGATCTGGAATACTCTGTGGGTCGAGGCGGGCTCAGAGCTCCGTGGCCCAGTAACAATAACCAATAACTGCGCCGCGGCGGTACGTGGATTCGTTCAATATCGTTATAGACGTCACGGCTAATTTCTGCGACACGTACGATTTCGTCCGAGGGGTCGAAACCGCTCCGGGTACGATCATACCCAGCTGACTGTGCGCTGTGACCAATCGGGCCTAGCCACAAACTACCAACGGCAACACACGAGCGACACTACGGGTACACACTCGCACGCGGCAGGCGAGCTCGCCTCGCACGGCCGTCTGAAGAAACACAAACAGACCGGCCAAAGGCACCGTCAAGCAACAGAAGGGTCGCCGCGACGCCCTCGCTGACAGAACAAGCACTAATTTGTTGGTCGGCGGCGCCGCCTGTTGGCGGGCCGCGCGCCTGGGACGCCAAACGGGGACGGGACGGCGGCGGGCCGCGCGCCTGGGACGCCAAACGGGGACGGGACGGCGGCAGGCCGAGCGCGCCCCGCCGCTGAAGGCCTCGAGAAGACATCAGACTCGCTGGATAACTGGATACAGGAAGCATGCAGAAGAGCGGGCGCCGCGCGAGTGATAATGCGGCCGAGTACAAAAATAACGCCGCCATAGTGTGGTGGTGTGCCGGTCTGAAGCGTACACCGCTGATAGTACTGCGCTCCCCGCTCCGTTCGTCACTCTCTCACACTCGCTCGCCCCACTATGAGCGGTGTGCGCTCGCTCAGAAGCCGCGCTGGCTGGGCGGCACCAGGTGGGCGGGCAGCTCGGCCGGCAGGTCGTGCCCGTCCAGCTTGATGTTGATCAAGTGCATGGCCAGGGCGAACTCCTCCACGTCCAGCATGCCGTCCTTGTCGTGGTCGGCCAGCTTCCACACCTTGCCTAGCACCGTGTTGGGCAGCTTCGACTTGACCATCTCCGCCTTGGCCGCTGAGGAAGGACGCAAAATACGTCAAAACATCGTCGGATAAACCACGAACGCACGACCATTCAAAGGTTACGAACCACGGTATATCTAACAGTGGCTCTCCGCCCTCCCTGACAGCCCGTCGATTTTCACGGCCACACCTCAGATCATAACGCTCAGGTCGATTAGCTGACATGACGTCATTCAGCCCGGCTGATAAGCGCGCGGCGACAGATCGACCCCAGCGCACCCCCGACCCGGCGGACCGACCCGCCACCCGGCCTCGAGTGAGGGGGATGGTCCGCGACCGTGCAACTCGTGCTGATATCGGCGGCTGTGGCCTTCAATGTGCACTATCAGCTTCATTGGCTAGTAGCATGCGTTATGTTTGAGGCGAAAGGATACATTTTAGTTCGCCTGTGGCCAACAACAAAACCATTCGCTGGCAATCTGATGCAACAAAAGAAAAAGTGTAGCTTTACTGGGCATCGGATATATATCGTTACGAGTGTTTACATAACCTTACAGAAAAAAATCGTCACAAATTGCCTCCTTCATGAAACAATTCGTTTGGGTGGTGTGGTAATGTCATTATATCTTCTTACATGAGATGAACATTTGTGGTATCTACTCCGACACTAAAGGCCACTCCACACAAACGGTATCGAATGTCAACCACATTCGACAGTTACACAACACGTCCCACCGTCACGCAACATCCCTCCCCATCCCACCCGCACAACCCCACCCACCACCTCACAAAGGGCCCTGTTTCCCATTCTCCCACCCGCTCTGTACCCGTCCACTCCACTTCCGCCTGTCCTAATTGCCTCCCTCTCTCTCCAATCAACAGTGCAACTGGCAGCGGCGTGCGGCGGCGGGACAAAAATCGGCCCACAATGGTCGGTTGGCGGCGGCGACAGCGTGGAGCCTGGCTGGACCGGTGAGCGGCCTTGGTCGCCGGCCCCCAGTGGACCACCGCGGACCGGTCAGTGATTGTGGGGCCGGCAGAGAAACATGGGGTGGCATGGGTAGCAATGACAAGAATGGCATTACAAAGAGAGGGCATAACACTTGGAGCCTGGTGTGATCTCCAAGATATAAAGAATGCGACACTGAATGGAGGAGCATCAGATGGGGGATAAAAACGATGAATGCAAACAAGGGAAAGTCGCCAGAAAAATAAAATGAGGACATGCGGAAAACCGGGGATAATCCATGCAATGTAAGCGATAAAGGAAGGAAATGCGTCGCTTGGGATTGAATATCGCATTTTACGAGCGTCCTATGGTGCTCATAGTAACATCGACGCTTAGAGGCGTGCGAATGCTCCGCGCCACTTGTGGGTATGGTGACTGACGGCAGGCGCCGGTCCTAGGCCAGCCAGCAGTCTGGCAGACTCGTACCGCATTATCGATCGGTGGCCTAACGGAGCCGCTCGCCAGGTTTGGGATTACTGGGAAACCGTTGGCAGTGTTTTACCGATGCCCACGCAATCTCGCCTAAAAACGTTTTTTACTTCAACTATGAAACTCGTTGTTTGCTGATACAAAGGTAAGGCTATATCGCATGCAAGGTCACGTCATTGGCTATCGCCGCAACGTTGAAAAACAAAATACTGGTTAGGTGTCTTACGAAACAGCAAGCGAATGCTAGCGCATTACGGAACAAATCGAGCCCATGCCCAGCCCAACGATCAAACAAGCCCATGTCGGTTTCCTGTTGTTTGGGGAAGATTTGGAGGCGCATCGACGGCGAGATCAAACCAGTGCCTACTTTCACTACCTGTGGAACGGAAACGCACGCTCCCTAGACCCCAACAATTCCTCTCCCCATCAGCTCGCGCCAGCTCACCTGCTCCGGTGACCTTGTTGTCCACGGGGTTCATGCTGAAGAAGATGGGGTCGTACTTGGGTCGGTCGCGGTTCACCACCCACTCGGCCTCGCCGGCGCCGGCGTCGGCCCCCTCACACTTGTTGAAGCCGAACGGCGTGTCGGCACTGCGCACGCCGTCGAACGCGCCGCCTGAAACCGTGTGGCCGCTGTTGGGCTTGCCGTCCTCTGCGAACGGCGTGCCGGTTAGTGGCGTGCAGTCTCTCTACGGGGCGACACGGCGGGACTACCGGGACTAAGGGGGCAGTTCGGGTGTCTAGAGACGGGGTAATGGGGTGTCATGGGGTTCTACGGGTGCAGTCAGTCGCAGAATCAGAGCGATACACTGAATTCGATGGGACGGTTATACAAGGGTAGAAAATCAGGGACGCAGCTAACGACAAGCACATTCCTAAGATGCGACGTTATCGGGTAGTAAACACGCCACAAATTTGTCAGTTGAACGAACAAAACGCACACGGTAAAATATTAGACATCTGATGACTAGCGCTGCTGCGGCACGCGCTAATACTTGAAGCGGTTCTAGAAATGCATTAGTAACGCGACGCGACTCAGGTCAACGGACACTGAAAAGGTCACAGTGAAACGGGCGCAGGGAGAACGATAAAATAATGACAGCCATCAGCGTTCATCAATGTATCAGAGAGCACGAAAGACAATCACATAACGTGTCTGTGTACGACCTTCGTTTCGAACTCCGTTTACGAACGCCTTTTCACTAGCCTGGAACACATCACGCCTTACGGTTGCATGCAACAAAATTGTCGCAAATATCAACATCGCGTAGTTAGGGACTCCGGTCTGAGCCATCAGCAAAGTTTACCTTACCCGGGTGGAACGATAGGTCCCACCGTACGGGTAGCCGCCCGATCACATTCATGCATACACATTCCTTTCATCCTACACCAGTGTATACTTTCTAACATGCTGAATTGACCTTATCCCATCCAAACCAAACAAAACATTTCCATTGTGCCGGACGTGTGCCTGATGCCCCAGAATGGCACTCAGCCGGCTCCAACCGAGTTAATCCGGCGCGGGGAGGGGAGCGGGAGGCGGGATACGCCCCTCACGGCGCGCGGCGGCCATGGGCCACATCCCAGGCTGAGCGCTGCACCCGAACCGTGCAGACCACAGCTCGGCTCGCTGACACAGCGGGGAGAAAGCTGACGGCTGAGAGGGTACGCCACTGTGGTTTACAGCACACTGTGCCCGGGTATCCTACATACGGCTGCGAAATCTCGCTTATCGAAATGGGCTTAACCACTGCTCAGCTGGGGAAGGTCGGCTGGATTTGTTTTCTGATAACACAAATAGGCACCGTGAGATGAATTCCTGACTATGTTGGATCAAATATGTCCTTTCCGAGAGTAAAGTAGTGACACAACATCCAGCAGGCCGCTCGTGACAGTAAGTCAGACTCTCCACTTGCGTTTGGGAGTCAGCTGTCACCGCCCGGGCGTACGAACGGTGTCAGGCAAACGCGACGACTGGGTGTGACCGGGAGCCAGCGCAGGCCAGCACCGAACAGCGAATCGACAAACAAACAAAACGGTCCCCGCCGAGACGCTGTAGCGAGCCCGACCGCGCACGGAAAACAAATGACAGAAACTCGCCGCAGGTCATCGGTCACATTCCGCCAACATGGCGACTGTGAGTGTGAAACTTGACACGGAATATATTTAGCATTTAGCCTAAGCATTTTATCACTAAGAAAGCTATATGGACTCAGGCCTGTTACAGTTTGTGACCGGAAATTGGCCGTGATAGTCTCCATACGGGGTCCGCATCCGCAGGGCACCCTGACAGCGTCACACCCGGCGGGATGACGATAAGCCAGATCTCCGGCGGTGGTGGTTGGGGGGCGGTGACACGTCACGCGCGGATATCGCGGTATGAGTCACCGTCCTAAGCTTAGAGACACGCACTGATGTTAGAAACACAGTTGCGGTGGGAATGACCAACGCAACGAATGGTTTTGGCAATGATTGCCGAAACATCGCCTGCGTGACGAAAAGTCCTGCGTAACGTCCGAAGACGAAACATTCTCAAACATAACCACACACTGACCATTACTCTACACGGTCCCATCAACAGCAGCTCTGCTGCGGGACAGGACTGACCTTTGGGGACCATGTTCTGCTTCTCCTCCAGCGGGACCATGGCCATCAGCCTGGCGATGTCCTCGGCCAGCATCTTGTCCACGTTCTGGATCAGGCGCGGCTTCAGCGGCTGGAACTTGCTGAAGTCTTCGTGAAGAAGACGTTCCTGAAAAACGAATACTTTTTAGCAGCCATCTACTTCTGAAAGGCTCTAGCGTGGCGTCGTATTTACTCACGCATTGGCAATTTCATCGTCATCCTCTATGGCTGCAGCCGATGATGATCTTGGAGATAAGATTTTAGAAGTGCCAAGACCTTCGTGGCCTGGAGAGAAGGTGATGCTTTCATGAAACATGCTCACAATTGACACAAAAAGATTGAATTCAAAATTGCTAACACCATGGTTTTTGCGTTTTCTTCTCTAACACTTCCTAGTCTGTCCCGTAGCTCGGTAGAGCGTTAGACTCCCAATAGTGGAGCCCGGGCTCGAGTCGCTCCAGCGCTCGATATTTGAGACTCCTGACAGGGGTGGTATGCGGTTGGTGGGAGCAGCAGCAGCCACTTTAAGTCAGTTGAGTGGGACAGGCCGTGTCCACTTTTCATGGGCACGTTAAACTTTGGCATCTTCGTTTTTCGGCATTGCGCGATCGGACGGTAGGGGATGGGGTCTACGCACCACGCTCAGCGTGCGCTCTGGCTCTATCAATCTGTAAATTAAAACATTCAAGTAGAATTTTGAATTGGGTAGGTACCAGCTGGGTGACTTTCATGCCAGCTTATAAACAGGTAATTCATGACATCCGCCTTACCTGCATGCGTGCAATGTCTGGGAAGTCTCCGGGACTGATCTGGTGCTCTCGCTGCACACTCTCGTAGATGGCTGACAGGTTTTTGATGAGCTCCTTCTTCTTGCTGTCCTTGCCAAACATCGATGGCATTTCCTTCTTCAGAGCAGCTATGATGTAGGCGTGCACCTGGAGAAGGTAAGAAGTAATGACACCTGATTATCTAATGCTGCTCTTTGTCATTTTCAGTTTCTGCCTCAGTACACATAAAGTAGTAGATAGTTGCAACAGAAGTGATAGGATCATAGTGAAAAAAACATATATTTTAGTTTTGGTATGTTGTGATGAAAAACCAGCAAAAACATCACGTGAATAATAAGTAGACACTATTCTTCTTTTGGTGAACATGTGGAGAAGTCTAGTAAAAAAGTATTGACTGTGGGGCAGTACAAGATAAATTGAAATTACCTGCAAACTTTAGGAGTTTTTTTAATTATCAGAGAAAATGAATAAATCAGAATTAAAAGGAATGCTAGTAGTATTGTAGTAAACAGGGTTTACCTTTGCCAGCCTTGCCCTCTTGATGAGATCATTCAGCTTTCGCAGAGCAGCATTCCTGGGGAGTGACTGCAGGTCCAGGAACAGATCTTGTGCCTCAGCTTCAAAGAGCCTGTCAAAGTCAGGATTTGTCAATCATCACCAAATATGATTCTAGACATAAAGCTAAAGGAAATGCGTAAGTGACAAGGCAATCGCATATTTGTGAATTGGATATCAGCCATTGAAAAATGGGAATTTTTACTCACTTCCTGTTGGAGTCATAGCGCAGAGGCTGGTCCCAGAATGAGCCGATGTACACCCTGGAGACCTCAGGGGTGGCGATCACCTTCCCAAGAGACCACATCAGGGCTCCGTACACCCTCATCAGCTGCTGGTGGTCCACCATGTCTGCCTTGTTCAGCACTATCCTGATCTTGTCGTCATGTCCCTTCAGGGCACCAATGGACCTCCTGAACTCGTCTGAGATGTCCAGTTTGTGAGCATCAAACAGCAGGATGATCCTGTCCACCCTCTCGGCAAACCACTCCAGCACTCCGGCAAAGTCATAGCCTCTGTCCACCCTCTGCTTCTCACCCGAGAGGATGCCAGGTGTGTCAATGATTGTCAGGGACCTGAGAACAGTTGAGTTCACAGTGGAGCATTGCAGCCTGTTCAGGAAGGCATTTCCAAACTTTGACAGTGGCCTGAATGGCTTTTTGGGATCCACCACCAATGCATTTCCTGGGATGATGCCATCATGGTCTCCATGCATGACTGCAATGAACCCATCAGTGGTTGGCTCAGGTCCAATTCTGATGCCAGGGAAGTCTCTCTCGAGCAGATACCTGATGAATGTTGTCTTTCCAGTGGAGTACTGACCAACCAGCATGATGATGGGCTTGGCATCAAAATCTGGGTCATCCAGCTTTGGAGAGTGGAAGTCATGGAACTGATATGCTTCTTCAAGAGGCAACACTTTTTGTTTGTAGATCTTTTTCAGACCTTCAAACACAGTTTCATAGACTTCAACATGCTTCTTCTTCTCTTCATGTCCATCAAGCCAACTAAACATTTTGATTGTTTCTAGAACTACAGACTAAAACTTAACTCTGGAACCAATACCTCACAAATTCCACACAGACTTCAGTCACGTTCTTTTTTCAGCTGGACATGAGTCACATTCCTTCTGGAAACACCCCCTTGGTCCTCAGAGACGTCGATGACTTATGTCCGGTCCCACTTCGAGCTCTCGTGTATCGTGCAATTTCTTAGTCATACACTAAGTCGCCCAATATTTAAATTAATGAATGAAAAATTAAACTAATCGAATCTAGGAGATGGATGGAAATCGGGAAAATCGCACGCAGCCGCTCCCACTCTCTCCGCCGACTCGTCAATCGCGATTGCATGCGCCACAAATGTCGCAAACGCCTCAGACAGCGCATCAAAAAGTTGCGCATAAACCGCTGCCAAATTATATGTGTACGGAAACTGTTGTAAAAGACTGCTCTTGCATACGGCTAAATGTATTATTAAATTAGTTTTATGTCATATAAAAAGCAGTGCCTAGCTGTTGAAAATCTTGCAATTCATGCTTTTCCTACTCTTTTGCTTTTCCTAATTCTTCCTAAACCTATCGCTTTCCGACGTACACAACCAATAACCGCAGGAGCTGTTTGAAAACAAAACACTATTCGCTTGTATGTACACAACGAACGAGGGCGAGTGCCGACTGCCGAGTGTACTTGCTAGGTACTTGCTGGTGTAGGTACTTGCTAGGGGCCCCTCCTCGCTGTTGCATCCCTAGACCCCAATTGTTGATCCAGGTTTGCCATAAAAAAACGAGTGTACGTATGTACCTATAGGTAAGCTGTGAAGAGAGTGACGTAGCGACTAGAAAGCGATCATAATTCATAGGCGGCGGAACGGGGAGGGCACCGGGACACCGTGCCCCCCTTTGATTTTGGCATTGTAACATTAGCCCTATGGGCGTTGCATGGAAAGAATGGGACCAAAAGTCGGCAGTGCCCCCCCCCCCCTTAAGAAGGCGTTCCGCCGCTACTGAAAACGATCTTAGGTTTGGTAATCTGTGTTTTCTTGGGTCAGGTCCAAAGACAGCAATATCGGATTCGAGTATGTTTGTTTTAAACGAAATCACCAAAAATGATCGTAGAGCAGCCAGTATAGCATCATTGCGCTGCATTTTCTTATCTAGCTTCATCGGACTATGCGTATTTCGTGTTACTCTCTCCCTTAGCTTCATCCTCGTTCGCCGAGAATGAGGCGACACTATCACCTCGGTGATCGTAGCTGGCTGGGAAATCCCTGACTGCTATTAGGCTAATCTCCCGGCCGGGATCGTGAGCTCCAGGGTGACCTCTGCGCGCTCTCGGTTGACCCCGGCGCTCTGACAGAGGTGACCCACCTCGCTGCCTGGCTCCGGTGGCGGCCGTTCTGCCGAACTGTGCGGAAATCCCGCGGATCCCCGCCGCTCGCGCTGACCGCGGACCGGTGCGTCCGGCCGAGCGGCGCGCGCGGCGGCACCGGGTGCGCCCTCGCCGCCACTCGCCGACCCGCCGCCGTCCAGCCGCCATGACGGCCCGCTCGCTGCTGGTTATCGCGGTGCTGCTGGCTGCTGCAGCGGACACCGGCGCCTCTCCCGCCCCTCAGCCGGCCGGGGTCATCATCGGGTCGGTTTTGAAGGTAGCGCAGAAAACGAAGCCGACGACTGTGACCGTGACGGATGGCGACAAGAAACCGTCAGTGTTCAGAGCCATAGACTCGTCAAAAGTCGGGTCTGTCACTGTGCAACCCTCGACGAGTGCTACGAAGAGCCCCACTAGCTCGCCGACAACCAAGCCTCGCAGCCAGCCAGCACGAAAACAAACCACGGTAACGGCGAGTGGCAAATCCACAACGGAATCGACGACGAGATCAACGGTATTGTCGGTATCGACGACTGCCCGTCCGACGACGACAGGGGCGACGACGGAGCCGACGCCGGCGGCAGTGCCGACCACCGCCGCCCCGGTGACGGAGAGGACAACGACGCAGAGCCGCCGGACCACGACCGCGCCCGCGTTCATCGGTAAGTGGCACCGCTCGGCTGGGCGGTGGATGCTGTTAGTGTTTGTGTATAGGTACTGGTAATGTTGATTGGCAGGTGGAATGATTAGCACTGGTCACCATTGGAAACGGTGAACGGCGAACGCTATTGTTCCCGTGATAAACCATTATATCAAAAACTAACTAAATCGACCGTTTTGTTGTTACTTGCCATTTGGAGTTCCCCGACGGGTAGGTATTCCATATGCCCTGAATGTACTGCGCACACTTTCAGTGTCAAGCAGGAAGCTAACGCTACATTGGGTGAGTCATGGTCATTGTTTTATGTTATGGTACCCGCAGTGAAAGTCACGGTACGGTCATTTTGCATGTGGATGGCTCACGGGGTATGCACCACATGCCTTTATTGATTGACCCGATCACCGGTAATACTGGTTTTTACCGGTCCACTGAACGAACCACGCTCTAATGTTCACGTCATTCAGGATTGCGATATATACGAGTACCAACGGATTACAGCTGACATATCGCCCTGTCAATCGCTTAAGTCACTGACCCGTCTGATGCCGATCGCTGGTTTTAACCGCCACCGTTTCCTGAATTATCGTCTAACTATGCATTATACGGTGACGCTCGTTTGCGAACCATATGCTCAGCTTGTAGACTGTAGAGTGTAGAGTCCCACAACATATTTAATTAAGGACTCAAGGCTAGAGCAGATGACTGACTAGATTCACTGATTGGCAGAGTCCATGCCATAAGTGGGAATACTCAAGTCACGCGGATGCCTGTACTCGTAGTTCGCGGGAAAATAGGCTGTCTCTGAAGAATGGCGACCATCGCTGCATTTAGACTAAACATTGGTTAAAAAAATGTCGCTTATCCGAAGAAGAGTTCGTACCGTAATACGTCAGACCTTCCCAGACACATCGCCGAAAAAGTCGCGTGCCATAATCCAATGCGCCCACTGGAAATGCGTCCTGAGGCCAGTTTTACCAACAGAAAAATAGCCGCCTGCCGGAATTTTTTGCCCAAAGACCGCTTCACATACGACCGCTTCACATACTTCACATACGTAAACACGATGGGCATGTAAGAGCATAGGGCTTTACCGTTTATGCGTATGAATAAAACAGGTCATTTTATTTTTACCATCAGTATAATAAATATACCTGCAATATAATAAAAATTGAAAATTGAAATAACAGCTGGAAGGAGAACGGAACGTTCAATAGGCTGAGGCTGAGACATAGATTTCGAGGCGTGAAACTTATGGGCGCTCTTTGCTGGACGACGTCAGCGATGGACGTTTAAATATTTATTTTACCGAACATCGACTGTTATGCTGTTAATAGTGTTTTCCATAACTCATTTACCGTATAAGCCTAGCCATGTGCCATGATTGCATGGCTCCATTTGTCAGTGTTATGTGCGCTGTGCCATGTTTTATTTTGCTTTATTGCTTGGCTGATTGGCTTTTTTAGAACCTGTATTATACCCGTCTAAAAAGTATTACCTATACGTGCGCGGCATGACTTCAATGCTTCGATAAATGCAGTATAGTAGCCTGAATTCCTAGCGTTTGCCTCACGACGTTCCAAGTCGCGCTCCAAGAACGAGTCTCGTGTTTTCCGGTCTTCTTTTCCTGTGGCTTGCTGAGAAATTAGGCCAGCCTAGACCAGACCCGGTTATAGCGAAAGATGCACGTTTATGCCACCCTTTGATTTTCCAGTTCTAGCCATATCGCTTTCCACTGATTTTGCTTCACTTTCTAGAGTGTCATAATCTGTGGTTATGGAAATTGGCCCTGCTCATTGTTCATTGACATTGTTCACCATTCGTGGCATTCTAGGAGCTATCAATTTACAATGAATCCTATTTATAAGTGTAGTGATGCATCTGAATAATATAATGCCTTAAGATCGGCATTAGGCATGATTATAATTTATAGGTACTGCACCCGCTACGAATTTTATCGTGTAGTTAACCGGGTCGAAATTTCTGGTGGGTCAAGTTAACCCACCAGAAATTTCCACCGCCCGTAGTCCGTACTCTATACCTATCTACCTTACTACTCATCACAAAGTCCTAGGAGTCAGCTCCAACTGGCCGATCAGTTCCCTCAATGTGATTCTTAAGCATGCAGTTCTATCTTTTATGGATGGAAAACGGCGAATTTCGTCAATTTTGGGACCTGCGGTACGGGTAAATGTCCCTTATGTCCCTTGGATTCGCCAGTGTAAACACCATCTCGTCTGTTGGGTATGTTGCGCCGCCCGCACTGACTCTCCCTCCTCCCACCCTCAGCCGACGAGGTGATCTTCGCGCCAGTCTGCGCTCTCATGGCAGACTCGTCGCTAAAGACGCGCAAATTCACCCGTAACTACCTGCACGGTGTGACGACGTGTCGCTGTCAGAGCCGCAAGAAGGCCGGCTGTCTGGTGACCACGCTGTACCCCACCGTTCGACCTGGCTCGGCCTCGGCCGCCCACGCCCAGGAGCAGAGTGACGTGGGCAGCGCGGCCTCCAGCGTCCTCGCCGCCAACATCTGGGCGATGCGCCACGAATGTGAGCGCCGCGCCCTGGCCGGCGCCGTCTGTCATTTCGGGCTGTCCAACAAGGAGCCGGTCTGTGACTGCTCCGTGGAGGTGTAAATAGACTTACTTCTGCTCTGTGGAGGTGTGATGTAATGTGCAGCGCGGAGGCTGTCGGTGTGAAGAAGTGTTTTGTGGTATTGTACCTAAGCGGTGGGACAGCTGCGTGAAACTACAAAACACGTGAGTAATTACAGTTAGAGACATTGTGAATACGTTGCACTTCATATGAAACCATCAAATTATGATTGTTATTCATGAACGTTATTTTCAGCATTAGGTAAGTAAGCATTACCATAATTCGCTCAATATATCAAAATGTAGGTACACTGAAAGAAAAGTACACCTTGGTAATTTGAATTTGATTATTATACACCGCCATTACACCGAAATCAAGAATATTTATACCCTTGTTCGACGTATATGGAGAATAAAATAATGCTCCGGTGCGAATGTACTCTGTCACGAGCGTATTCTTGGGGGTTAATTCAATCGAGTTTAACACTCATGGTGCAATTCTAATTTTTGAGATATTTACCCCTCTAATTGATGGATGGTAAAATTACTACTATAGTGTATTTTCTTCAAGTTGGATAAGAATACCCATCTGATAGCATAAATTTGCACTCTGATTTGTCAGCTGATAATTCAACCCTCATCATGGTGTAAATATGCATCCTTGGTAAAGTGTGTTTCGATGAGGATGGTGTTATTTTATGACAAGGATTTAAAATACCCTAAACATGATAGTTCTGCACCCATATGCTCATTATTTTACGATAGCGTCCACGTGCGGCTCGCGAGCCTTCCGTTTCCGCCATTTTCATTTTTGTGTCTGCTCCGGACCGGAGCCACGGAGACTTCTGGCGCTTGCAAGTGATCTTCTGGCGGTTGAAACAGTGAGATAGGTGCGAGTGTGCTGGTGTGTTCGGTGTGGTCATGACTAGTGCTGGACCCATTTCCGAATAACTTTGAGGGTAAGTTGACTTGATAATGTTTCGATGTAGCAGTTGATGAAATTGATTTGCTGCTGTCTGTATGCACGTCACTCACTTAGCTGTTTGTGTCAATACGTGGCATTCTGATTAGTGATTCCAGAAGCTCAAATTGACCCTCTCAGTTTGTTCTCAAGGGCAAATTGAGAAATCAGTTAAGTACCTACTGAGGTTGTTAACTGTAACTTCATCAAATGTTCAATGTGTCGATTGATCAATATATGTTTAGGTATGTTTAGTAATTTCATTTCTCTACGTTTTACAAAAGTACTAGAATCTTGGCCTGAAAAAGTTGCTAATTTATTTTGTGTATTACTTTCAGGTTTGGGGTGACCTGGCTCTCGTCGTGGGTCACGCCGGCGAGAATGGCATTAGGACAAAGTCACCTCAATGACGCGACAGGCGTGCTACACCGCACAACTCCTGCCTCCGGAGGGCGCCACACCCGTTGAAGGTGAGTTTTAAACTACCATTAATGATGACTGACGACAATTGTCCGTCTGTCCGTCTGTCCGTCTGTCCGTCCGTCCGTCCGTCCGTCCGTCCGTCCGTCCGTCCGTCCGTCCGTCCGTCCGTCCGTCCGTCCGTCCGTCCGTCCGTCCGTCCGTCCGTCCGTCCGTCCGTCCGTCCGTCCGTCCGTCCGTCCGTCCGTCCGTCCGTCCGTCCGTCCGTCCGTCCGTCCGTCCGTCCGTCCGTCCGTCCGTCCGTCCGTCCGTCCGTCCGTCCGTCCGTCCGTCCGTCCGTCCGTCCGTCCGTCCGTCCGTCCGTCCGTCCGTCCGTCCGTCCGTCCGTCCGTCCGTCCGTCCGTCCGTCCGTCCGTCCGTCCGTCCGTCCGTCCGTCCGTCCGTCCGTCCGTCCGTCCGTCCGTCCGTCCGTCCGTCCGTCCGTCCGTCCGTCCGTCCGTCCGTCCGTCCGTCCGTCCGTCCGTCCGTCCGTCCGTCCGTCCGTCCGTCCGTCCGTCCGTCCGTCCGTCCGTCCGTCCGTCCGTCCGTCCGTCCGTCCGTCCGTCCGTCCGTCCGTCCGTCCGTCCGTCCGTCCGTCCGTCCGTCCGTCCGTCCGTCCGTCCGTCCGTCCGTCCGTCCGTCCGTCCGTCCGTCCGTCCGTCCGTCCGTCCGTCCGTCCGTCCGTCCGTCCGTCCGTCCGTCCGTCCGTCCGTCCGTCCGTCCGTCCGTCCGTCCGTCCGTCCGTCCGTCCGTCCGTCCGTCCGTCCGTCCGTCCGTCCGTCCGTCCGTCCGTCCGTCCGTCCGTCCGTCCGTCCGTCCGTCCGTCCGTCCGTCCGTCCGTCCGTCCGTCCGTCCGTCCGTCCGTCCGTCCGTCCGTCCGTCCGTCCGTCCGTCCGTCCGTCCGTCCGTCCGTCCGTCCGTCCGTCCGTCCGTCCGTCCGTCCGTCCGTCCGTCCGTCCGTCCGTCCGTCCGTCCGTCCGTCCGTCCGTCCGTCCGTCCGTCCGTCCGTCCGTCCGTCCGTCCGTCCGTCCGTCCGTCCGTCCGTCCGTCCGTCCGTCCGTCCGTCCGTCCGTCCGTCCGTCCGTCCGTCCGTCCGTCCGTCCGTCCGTCCGTCCGTCCGTCCGTCCGTCCGTCCGTCCGTCCGTCCGTCCGTCCGTCCGTCCGTCCGTCCGTCCGTCCGTCCGTCCGTCCGTCCGTCCGTCCGTCCGTCCGTCCGTCCGTCCGTCCGTCCGTCCGTCCGTCCGTCCGTCCGTCCGTCCGTCCGTCCGTCCGTCCGTCCGTCCGTCCGTCCGTCCGTCCGTCCGTCCGTCCGTCCGTCCGTCCGTCCGTCCGTCCGTCCGTCCGTCCGTCCGTCCGTCCGTCCGTCCGTCCGTCCGTCCGTCCGTCCGTCCGTCCGTCCGTCCGTCCGTCCGTCCGTCCGTCCGTCCGTCCGTCCGTCCGTCCGTCCGTCCGTCCGTCCGTCCGTCCGTCCGTCCGTCCGTCCGTCCGTCCGTCCGTCCGTCCGTCCGTCCGTCCGTCCGTCCGTCCGTCCGTCCGTCCGTCCGTCCGTCCGTCCGTCCGTCCGTCCGTCCGTCCGTCCGTCCGTCCGTCCGTCCGTCCGTCCGTCCGTCCGTCCGTCCGTCCGTCCGTCCGTCCGTCCGTCCGTCCGTCCGTCCGTCCGTCCGTCCGTCCGTCCGTCCGTCCGTCCGTCCGTCCGTCCGTCCGTCCGTCCGTCCGTCCGTCCGTCCGTCCGTCCGTCCGTCCGTCCGTCCGTCCGTCCGTCCGTCCGTCCGTCCGTCCGTCCGTCCGTCCGTCCGTCCGTCCGTCCGTCCGTCCGTCCGTCCGTCCGTCCGTCCGTCCGTCCGTCCGTCCGTCCGTCCGTCCGTCCGTCCGTCCGTCCGTCCGTCCGTCCGTCCGTCCGTCCGTCCGTCCGTCCGTCCGTCCGTCCGTCCGTCCGTCCGTCCGTCCGTCCGTCCGTCCGTCCGTCCGTCCGTCCGTCCGTCCGTCCGTCCGTCCGTCCGTCCGTCCGTCCGTCCGTCCGTCCGTCCGTCCGTCCGTCCGTCCGTCCGTCCGTCCGTCCGTCCGTCCGTCCGTCCGTCCGTCCGTCCGTCCGTCCGTCCGTCCGTCCGTCCGTCCGTCCGTCCGTCCGTCCGTCCGTCCGTCCGTCCGTCCGTCCGTCCGTCCGTCCGTCCGTCCGTCCGTCCGTCCGTCCGTCCGTCCGTCCGTCCGTCCGTCCGTCCGTCCGTCCGTCCGTCCGTCCGTCCGTCCGTCCGTCCGTCCGTCCGTCCGTCCGTCCGTCCGTCCGTCCGTCCGTCCGTCCGTCCGTCCGTCCGTCCGTCCGTCCGTCCGTCCGTCCGTCCGTCCGTCCGTCCGTCCGTCCGTCCGTCCGTCCGTCCGTCCGTCCGTCCGTCCGTCCGTCCGTCCGTCCGTCCGTCCGTCCGTCCGTCCGTCCGTCCGTCCGTCCGTCCGTCCGTCCGTCCGTCCGTCCGTCCGTCCGTCCGTCCGTCCGTCCGTCCGTCCGTCCGTCCGTCCGTCCGTCCGTCCGTCCGTCCGTCCGTCCGTCCGTCCGTCCGTCCGTCCGTCCGTCCGTCCGTCCGTCCGTCCGTCCGTCCGTCCGTCCGTCCGTCTCGCCTGTCTCGCCTGTCTCGCCTGTCTCATCCATGGGCTCCCCCACCGGGGGGAGGGGGGAGGGACGGGGGACGTGTCCCCCCCCCCAATATTTTACATTTGTCTGTTTCGTCTGTCTCGTCTGTCGGTCGGTCGGTCCGTGACATACAATATCGTTCTGTACTTTAATGTTACAGTGCTACTAGTTATATCTTTCAGTTTTCACGGACAGACATACAATATCGTTCTTTGCCTTACGATTACAGTGCTTAACCCGCGCACCGACGGGGGAGCCCCCCCCCTCAGGTTTTGTCAGATAGCATAAAAAGGCGGCGCATAGCGCCGCCAGATTTGGCACGACTGTTGATACATCCATTTAGCATACCCTCTGGAAATCTTTAGCTCATATCTTAAAAAAGTCAGGCCACCAGGCCACGTTAAGTGACCTCACCTCGAAACACAATCTTCGAAGTTTGCTATCTCGTTGTTGAAAGCAGATCTTGAAACTCACAGAAATAATTTTGGTGATGAGCACCTACAACTCGTATATCTCAGAAATGACCTACGAATAGGTCATTTTTTACCTGCCCATTATAAGTCAATGGAATAAATTTCAAGTCATTCTTATTTCCATCAGATTCCTTTTTATAGGACTTTTTATCTCTTCTGTTCATGAGCTACGGAGTCGTTTGTTGAATGTTGTCGGTCTTTTTACGGTTACTCGCATGAGACTTTTGGGGGGCGGGCGGTCATCCACCCTCTCGTCGCTTCTAAGTTGGCTCAGAACCCCTTCGGTGCGCGGGTTAATAGATTCATCTATGATTCATCTGTCAATTTTTAAGGATCGACATTCAAAATTGCTATTTTCTTAAAGATTACAGTGCTTAATATTTCTTTACATCCTTCAATTTACATGGATGGGCGGATGGACGGACGGATGGACGGCCTGACATACAAAGTCGTTCTTAACTTAAAGATTGCAGTGGTTAATAGTTCTTTTTATCTTTCAATCTTGGTAGATGACGACCTGGCGGCCACCTTGGTGATCGGTGGCGGCACGACGATTTCGGAGCTGCAGGATGGGCGCAACTCTGTGTCCGTTCACCCAGAAACCCAGTGCCTGGTCAGCGATGTGAAATATCGTCTCCCAAACAGTGAGATGAAGATGCTGGCTGCCTTCGCTGCGGCGCACGCTGTGCTATATTTGCCTTTTAGAGGGCCCAGCATGATCCTTTTTGAGGTCATATATGCACGGGTTATGAAGTTCGCGATTCCTCTCAGTGCGGCCGAGAATGCCATCCTTCGTATAATCCACTGTTGCCGATTCAGAGGCACCAGTGCAGTGGTCGGGTGACCGAGCAGGGCCCTGTTTCACGGCACGGCACTACTGTGCGCTACTAGTATCGCGGTATTGAGTTTCCATAGAAACATCTACAAACTTGGACGCTCCAACATTGAGAGCGTTCGAGTATGTGGATGTTTCCAATAGGAACTCAGCACCGCGATACACGTAACGCACTGTAGTGTCGTGCCGTGAAACATCTTCAGTACCTAGGTATAGGCACTGAAGATGATGTGAGTTGAGAAGGCCTCAGTCAGTTTTTTTTTACGGAGTTTTTGTTGTCAGTGCTTTCCTAGTTCGTACACCTGTGCTTTGATTTCAGAGACCGTACGTTTGGTGTCGATACCAGGGGGAAGCACTCGCCTTGGCCGTATATGGGCCAGAATGTCTAACGATTTCGGCCATGTTGTGTATACCAAAGTCTTGAAAAGTTGATCGCTGCAATCAAACTGCAAGCATGAAGCAGCAGCACTTTTGAGAAGTGTACCTCTCACTAAACTGCACCTCTGCTACCGTAATGCAATTTATATTTCTGGTATACACAACATGGCGGAAATCGATAGACAAAAACAAGCCACCAATGGTCCTTCCAGTATATATTAGAGTTCAGTGGTCGATACTCGTTACACGAAGAAGTGCTCAGTTGTTTTTAAAGTACACGATGAAACGTGACTTAGTGACCTGATGACCTGTGCTGTGAATAAAATGTGATTTGTGCAGCTTGTGATATCCTCAGGGAAGTCAGTGTTGGGAGGAACCAATCTGTAGCAACCTGTGATCTGTCGTTTCAAGTTATTTTAAATAAACAACACGTTGGAGAGATGCACCATAGTTGACTTTATCGAAAGTGCTCAGAAGACGACAGTAGATACAATCACGCTGGGGGATAGTTATGGCTGGCGATGTATATTTACCCAGTCGTATTTTTACTCCCTCTGGAAAAGAACATACAATTATTATCGTTTACTTTTGTTTTGTATGCGGATTATAACGTGAGCTACTTTTACATCTTGACTTAAATTGTACACATTCAGCTTCGCAGCCCGCTGGTATTTCTACACCATGTCGCAAGGCGTAGAAATTGTTTTGGCTTAAATTGCACTGTGGCGTAAAAATATTATCGTAAATTACATGCTTAATTCTTCCTAACGCCCCTTTACACCCTTTACCTAGGGGTGTAAAATGAATTGATTTGGGGTGGAGATTTGTGTACCGTACTTTTATTCCGCAACGGGTGTAGTTCTAAGCTTACGAAGATATATTACTTACTACCGGGTGGCAGAATTAATCTCCAATTGTCCATGCAAACATCTTTTACTCTGGCATAAAATGAAGTTAAAAGGGGTGGAGATTTGTGTACCGTAATAATATTCCAATTTCAGGTGTAGTTTTTCTTTCAGTGTAGCCTTACGCTTATTAAACTGTTGTGTACATTTTACGTCACCGCTTACTTCAACTATGCCCATTTGTAGCGATTTAATTATCATGAGGCTGAGTTATAGGCCTGGGCGGTAATGGCGGACGTCTTGTGAGGTTTGCTTCCTATTAGTCACATCGTGTTTTGAGGGACATTGTTGTCAATCGTGAAAAAACACTCATGTAAATGGACATACGAGTGGCACGTTTTGTGGCACGTGATGACGTTGTCAATGCGTTATAAAAGTGGATATGGACAATACACGAAACGAAAGGTGAAAAGTCGTAAGCTTACTTACATTACAGTCGAGCGTAAATATGTAACATGGAATAACTACGGTGACACCAGCTATTATACCTAACATTATGCGCTCTGAGTATTATCACAACTAGACCGGGACCGACGTAGATGAACACAAGACGAAATAATTCGTGTTATGGTTGATGTTAAAGGTGTATTTCGCAAACCTCCAATAATAGTGCCATTCAACTACATGCATACGTTACTTTTAATTAATACACCGCTTTTGCAACGCACTTCTCTCTAAAGTAAGCATATTAAAGTCAGAGTGTCATATTGCACCACTTATCGTCACTCAGCTCGTTTCAAGTACCTACTTACCTAATTTTAAAAGTGACAGACCTGCCGCCTCTAGTAATATTCCATCATTAGTCCTTACATAACACATATGGAAAACATATTAACACTTGAAGTTTTATCACTATTTTCCTGGCAGTCATGATCCCACATTTCCGGGTAAGTGAACAAAGTGTCAACCGTGGACCAACTAACCCAGAAGTCATGTCAAAAATGTAAATACTGACACAAATACCAACGTCATACAACGAAACCCCGTTCACAGATTATATGGCAGCCTACAAAGCTTCAACTAATAGCTTCAATGTCAACTAATAACTACTTATATTTAAGCTGTAGAAAAAAACTACAATCGTAGTGGCGTAGAACTACATGACGATATTCATACAAGGCACTTTTCTCCTAGTTACGCTCCAAGGAAAATGCGTCCATCACCCTCGCAACTTCGGACAAGTCTTGCAATGTGGCCAAGGCCCTGCCTATATCACAAACGTGACACGATCTGAAGCAGTGTCGGCCGTTTGACTTCACGACGTTTCCTGGTGAATCCATCGATTCTGCTGTCGTAGGCGCCATCACAGGTCTACCATCCAGGGTTTGAAGCTGCCCGGCTCTGGAGCCTGTGGAAGCTGAAACGAAATCGCGAAAATTAAATTTAGATATAACTATACACCATGGAAGGATGGCTGAGGTTTCCACTGACACAGTGGATTATCTGACAAACGCCCGCCCGTTAACACAAAACAATAAATATCTCCATGGAACACAAACTTTCACCCTGTCCTTGAACTTATCTCTCCTGATCGAGACGATCGTGAAAATGTCGGTAAGCACATTTTCCCCAACCACCCGCTGTGGCTCATCACCTTGTCGGTGAACATATCTCGGCAGGCCATACGGATCCGGTCGGGGGTGGCTGGGCTTTCCATTCTGAGCGGCTCGCTGATACCGTTCTGGGCACGCGCCGCGCGCACCGCCTCCTTGATGGCGAAAAAGACTGAGGCGGCAGAGAACAGCGGCGGCTCGCCGACGGCCTTCGAGGAGTAGACGGCGCGCGGGTTGGGCGAGCCGCGCAGCAGTGACACGTGCAGCTCGAGCGGGATGTCACCGAACCCTGCCGGGCAGCCGACAGCGGCAGGTCAGGGTCTGACTGCGTGTTGGAAGGATGAGGTATGGGCTTGGTGGGGCGTGTGTATGGTCACGGAAGAGATGCATCAGACGGCTTATAACTGTAAACTTTGCGTGATTTCAAAGTGGGACTCATTATAGAGATCAAATACCATGCCGATCAAGTCTTAACATTAACACACAATGCGGATACAAACATTTTACTGGAAACTAAGCTGTACAATACTAGCGTATCCTGAATCTAATCACCTGGTATTTTGTAGGCTCCCGGTCCACGGGTGAAGTTGAACCCATTCGGAGAGTACTTGAGCCTCTCCATGCAGAAGAGGCCGTAGCCCTGCATGAAGGCGCCCTCGATCTGGCCAATGTCGATGGCGGGGTTCAGGGACTCTCCGACGTCCATCACTATGTCCGTCTTCAGGACCTGAGGACCGACATCGGCGCGATAAATTCCGGGCACATTTCTGATACCATACCCGTGAAGTTCGTGCGGGATTGGGGAGGTTCAGAATGTTAATTTATATATTATCCATAAGCTTCAGTCTTACCAGGCCTCTGCGTTCTAAATCGGTAATCCCATCATTGATGCGTTTAGGAAAATCTGAAATAAGTTATTACGACGGACTGTATGGCTACCGGCTAGTTAAATGTAAGTAATCGCCTCTCTACACAGCATGAAGAGTCAGCTCACTATCAGTTCGTTACCTGGTGGTCCCCGGTGAGACAGTCCACCTCCACCAGCGAGCAGGCGGCGCCGAACACAAAGTACGAATACATGTCGCCAATATGAGTGAGCGGGTCAAAGGCCAGGCCCTTCGTCCTGTGAAAACAGGATAACATCCGATTTTGGAAATGGCTTAGTGAGCATCTGTGAACATACATAAATATGTAAATAGTCGACATTGCGACCGGAATTTTATGTTTGGAGCGTTCAGCGGTCTAGTCGTGCACGCCGATCGCCGCTCCTCATGCCACTAATGCAGATAGATCATAGATCTTCCTTTTTGGATTTACTTGAATATCCTAAATTGTACTAGTAGAAATGCTGTTGGAATAAATACTCCCGCCCTATGCTGCGTTTCCGCTCGGTACTCACACCTCGAAGCCGCAGACGGACAGGCAGACCCGGCTCTGGTAGGCGGCCAGCACCCAGTCGCTGAACGTGCCGTCCGGGGCCGCCTTACGGAACGGCGCCAGCCGCTCCCGCAGCTGCTCGCAGGCGTTCTGTGCCAGACGGGC